AAAGAAAGAAAGAAAGAAGGGTACAGAGAATGGTTGAGTAGCTTGGTGGGAGCAGAGTACTTTTGGGATGTGGGAGAAGGAAGACTAGACGGGTCTCCATAAAACCTCAGTGGGTAGCAGCGCCTGGCTAAGGACCTGGAACTCTACTGTAAAGAACGAGCCTCTCGGCTGAGCTTTGAAAAGGAGGACTGGTATGAACAGAGCTTGAATGAAAGATCATTCTCCTGACAGCAAGAAGGAAACCAAAGGAAGAGAGGCTGGAAGCAAGGACCAGTCAGAATTCATTACCAAAGTCCAGGTGTGAGAGTCTGAACTAGCCTAGCAGGACCTGGAAGGGGTGGGTTAGAGTTGATGAAGGAACCTGCAGAGTGGATGTCTTATTTTTCAGTTATTCCTCTGTTCTAAAATATCCACTGGGACCTTTTTATTTTATTGAGATAACTAGAGAGTCTTATAAAGTTATAAAAAAACAATACAAGGAGATCCCTTGTGCACTTTTCTCAGCTTCCTCGGAAGGTAACATACTACAAAACCATAGTAAAAACATCCCAACCAGGGCATTGATGTTGATGCAATTCACCAGTCTCTGATTACCAAAGTTTTACTTGTACTGGTGTGTGTGTGTGTACACACGTGCATATCATTTGATTCTTTTTCATATATTCTACTTCTCTGTTGAAACTTTCTTTTCATTTGTTTCAAGAGTCTTCACCCTTAATTCCTGGAACATGGTTATAAATAGTCTTTAAAGTCTTTCTGTGTTCACTGTAACATCTGTGTTATCTTGAAGCTGCCATGCTTATCTTTTTCCTTGCACGATGTGGAGATTTTCCTGATTTTTCATATTTTGAATAATTTTGGATCGTAACCTACACATTTTGAACATCATGACATGGTGTTCTGGGTCTTATTTAAGTCATAGGGAGTATACTGAAAGTTCTGCTTGTTGTCTGTTGACATCCACGTGGGTTCAGGCTGGAAGTTCTAGCCCACCTTCTGTGCACTGTGGCCCCAAGGTCAGTTCAGTTTCTACCACCATGGCTGTGCTGCTTAGATCCATCTCACATGTCATGCTACCCAGTGGTCAGTCTGGGACCTGAGCAGCGATCTGCCAAGGAGACCAAGGCCTTTGGTCAGATCCATACATGCATCACTTGGAGCAGGCCTAGGAATTCACATCCAGCCTTCCGAGGTCGCTTTTTAGAGTCCCTCTCCAATAGCTCCCTAACACTCTGGGCTCAAGAGAGCCCTTTCTGGTATTCAGAGTAGAATTCTAGGCTTTAGTTTCCCTGCTGAATCATACAATCTCCTCAGAACAATTCCACCTCCTTGGTAACATGGTGAGAAAACAAGAAAAACCAAGGGGGGTTCCATCTGTGGTTCCTGGGACCTCAGTTCCTCTGGTCAGAGATGAGGGTTTTCCTTCCTTGGGGTTCTAGGTGCCTGTACACTGAAGCACTGCTGAGGACTGGAGTGGGAGAGAACCAAGGGGGAAAAGCAAGCAAGAAAGAAAACAGGGAATTTCTTCCATGACCTGTCTAACAGGAGACCCCTTTTCAGCTCCCTAGACTAGAAAGAGAGGGGGTTGCTCTTGGAGCTTCCTGTTATACCCACAGTGTACTTCTGAGTTTTAGCTTAAAGGCCAATCAACTACAACAGCATCAGAAAATATAAAGTACCCATGAATAGATCTAACAAAACAGGTATAAAATACCTATAGAAAATATTATTCAATCTTATTAGGATATATTTTAAGTATCTAATTAAATAGAAAGATATTCTAAGCTCATAAAATACAGACTATTATAAAGATGTCAGTTCTTTCCAAGTTGATTTAAGGTTTAAATGAAATACCACTTAATACCGCAACAGATTTTTTTTTAAATAAAGTTAAGAGCTTATTTTAAATTTATATGGAAGTATGATTTACAAAGGCCCCAAATAGGCAAGACAATCACCAAGAATAAGGTAGGAAGCTTTCCTCTACTGGATATCAAGACTTATTTCTTAAAACTGTAATAATTAGGGAGTGCAGTATTGACACAGGGTATTCAAATAGCCCAATGGAACAGAACAGAAAAGCCAGCCAAATTCTTGGATGAAATCCTTTCATCCTGGTAGAAAGCCTCCTGCTTCAGCCATTGATGAACTAACAAGTGCTTATGTGAATACAAAATTACAAACTACTCTCACCGTCCATTTAAAGCTTAAAAACTTTGCTGAAAGAAGAAAAGATTGGCATTATAAAACAATCGCAAGACAAAACCCAAGATAACAATTAACAATTGTGCGATGGATAGAAAGGGCACACAAAGTTAGAGAGTGGAGAGATTAAAGAGAGCTGGATTCATCAGGGAAGTTCCCATGGAGACCCAGGATCTGCACGAGGAGGAGAAGAATGGTGAGGTCCTCGAAACGCAGAAGTTACCGTACCCAGATAAAGAGCATGAGACGAATTATGAAGGGAGGAATAAGGAAAAATTAGGGGAAAGACAGAGAAGAGAGGTAACAAACCCCAGTCAACAGTGCAGCAGTGGGAGCCTACATCAAATACAGAAAGAGGACTCTGGCTCCCGGGTTCAAAGACTCAGGACTTTCTAATAAAGAAGTCACTGAACACCCTTGAATAAGGAACATAAAGCTGGTTGTGTTTTATAAAAGATTTGAAGGAGGGATAAAATCTAGCTTTGAGATCAGATGAGGGGGTGATAAAGATACAGAGATAACAGGAAAGAAAAGGGGGGGAACAAATCTGAAGTTCTTTTTGGAGGAGCAGAATTCAATAATCAGGGGTGAGGTTTAAAAACACATAAGATGCAGGTTTTATTAAATCCAGGTTCCACAGCTAGCTACCAATGTAAACATTAGACATTTCACAAATAAAATTAAAATGCCGAAGAAGGCAGCTACCTTTCTGTTTGACCTACCAGTGTTGACTTTTGACGTTACATGAGCTACATCAACTTTCTGGGACCTACTGAGAGGTACGGCAGCTTTTGCAGCAGGGGTGTGTACTACATTCTTTCTTCGATCTTTTGCTTTACTTATCTTTGAAAGAGGTGCAAAAATACCTGAAGAAGGATGTAGAATTTTAGCGTTAAACAATTAAAAGCATCTCAAAGAGGCAAGTAAACATCTTACTAGTAAAAAACTTGAAGCTCTTTTTTGGTGCCTGTATGTCCTGCAGTGAAAGGGAGAAAAAAAATTAGGCAAAAGCGCTTTCCCTCCCAGAGCTCACGGTCTCGTTGCCAACACTGACAACACGCCAATAATTTAAGAGCCACGTAAAAGATACCCCATCAGGTATGAAGCGAAATTCGGGGGAAAAGAGAAATGAGTAAAGCTAATAGTTCTGCATTGTTGCTGAGCCATTGGCAAGTAACACTGAGATATAAAATCTTATTTCTCCATGTCACTTTTTACCTCCTTTGGAACTTAAGTTTATCCCATACTGTCGTCTTTCCATCTATGTCTTATCTCTCCTACAGACTGTGCACCTTCGAAAGACAAAATTCTAACATTACTCAACCCTGCCTTGCCTCGCTGTACCTAAACACAGCGTCTTACACATAGTAGGGATATAACAAATCTTTCAGACTGTAAAACAAAATCTCCCCTAAAAGCTGAGCCCTCAGTCCCGGCTGGTCAGAAACAATGCAGTGTACGGGGGAGGGATGGTGTGAGGGGCGGGGACGGCGATCCACAGCAGCCGGGAGTATAAAATTCTAGCGAGAAGGAGTTCACCCAGGCAATAAAATTGTCAGTATGAATAAGTATGCCCAGACATTAGAGACAGCGCATACAGACTATAAATATCATGATAATCTGGCTCAGATATTTAAAAAGAGAAAATAAAGTCGTAATGTGTGAATGCCCCTCTCTCACTTGAGTGTTTACAATCTAACAAATACACATGATGACTAAAATGGACTGTAGTAAAAATAACATGTTAAAATAGGGTAAAAATGCTCAAGACTACAAAAAATTAGTGGGTTATTTTTAGCTAAAAGTGCCAACCGTACCACTTTTCTGCTAATCTTGAAATTCTCTCCTAACCTTGAATTCTATACTATTTTACCCGGATTTTTCTGCCTTTTTTTTTTTGTCTTATTCACAATGCTTTCTCTTCTATCTCCTACGCACAAAACTTTCTTTAACTTTTTATGCTTTCTGTGAATTTTCTTCCTTCCCAAACACACATACACATTCTCTCTCTCTACTCACACCCCTTCCCCCAGCGGTGGTGATAATGATGATTATAACCAATGTTGCCAAGTGTTTCGAGAAAAAGTTATTTTACACTCTTAGAATGCAAAAATCCTGACCTAATCTACTTTGTGGAATTAATTATAAAGAAATAATTATATTTATAGGTGTAGATGAAGGTTACAAGGTTACCCTCATACACTATAAGAACAGACACATTTCTGGGGGTGGCACCTGTGGCTCAAAGGAGTAGGGCACTGGCTCCATATGCCAGAGGTGGTGGATTCAAACCCAGCCCCAACCAAAAAAAAGATAAAAAAGAACAGACACAGCTAAAACAATTTCTAGTTTACTAGAATGTCCCGATTTCTAGTTTATTGCTATAATCTGATCACACTTCTGAAAACTATCAGCAGAAAATAATCTGAACAGGAGGAAAAGACTATATACCTGACTACGTCATTATGACGTAGTCATATACAATGTTTATGAATAATAAATTTACATTCATATGCATTGTATATGTATATGTACACATACATGTACATATATGTATATGTATAGATTCATATACATTGTATACATTCATATACATTGTTTATACATTGTTTATGAATAATAATTCATAAATGGGAGAAAACATAACTGGCAATATGACAAAGTATAGCTATAAACTACTATATCACCATTACTATTAACAATTAAAACAATAAATATCACATTATACAGAAAAAATATGAAAAGTAAATCAAGAAATAAAAATATCATTTATCTAATTATATTATGAACACATTGCAGAAAACTCTATGTATAGAGATAGGCAGGATGGGAAAAAACTGAAAATTACAACTTTTTCAGACTACGTGTTCTTTTTCCAATGTGTTTGTAATGTCACAATAATGTTGTTCAATAAATGTTTTTCTTCATTTGAGGGGAAATACGTGGTTTTTCTTTGAAGATCTTACCAGAAAATATCTGTGTGCTAATATTTGTTTTTGTAAAGGATTCAATATTTAATTTGATCACTTAAAAAAAACCTCTCAAGTATATAAAACCTCACCTATGGAGTTTTCACTCTTCTTATCTTTTTAGTTAACCACATCAATTTGTGGAGAACCAAAACCAAACTTAGAGCAGTGACCAGACGCACAGTGCATGACTGCCCTCACTGCTCAGTTACTGAGCAGTTGGACTGCTGGAGGGGTCAGTTACTGCTGGAGGGGTTGTTCTCAGATTTTTAAATGATATAGATCTTAACCTGTAAGGTTTAACTGAAAGTAAACATATTATGAAGAATTCTTTTAAAAGATATGCATACATTTCCAGATAAACATGGCCCACCAAACATGTGTGTTGAACTCCAATTCCTATTGGTAAAAAACCCCACTGTCAGTAAAAAAGAAAGATGGCATAAACTCTAAGGAAAAAAACAAAGAGCGAAAAAGTACTAAAAGCTTCCAAGAGGAGGGGAAAGGTCAAAAACAGAAGACAGACTTCAAAGCTTTTAACCAGCAACACTGGAAGCCCAAGGTACTGG